TGTGTGTGTGTGTGTGTGTGTATATATATATATATATATATATTGTTGTAGCCATTTAAGAAAGTATTTTTATTTTCTATTATTTATGTTTAAATATTATTTGTTTGTGTTTTGTTTAGTTCAATTTGCTAATTAAGAAAAGTATAAACGTCATTGTATCTTAATTTTAATATGTTTTTGTTGGTCAATTATTTACCTGAATAAATGAGAAGAAAGAATAAGCGTTTCATGGAATGAAGTGCGTTCAAAACAAAGCCTGCTGCCATGCTTCCGCGGCCAAAGCAAGGCCGAAACATATATATATATATATATATATATATAGTGCATATGAATTTTGAATTTTTTTATATCATTACATTATTTAGAGCATAAGAAAAAATGGAAAACAAATAACATTTTAGGAAAATTATATATATTTTTTATGTTATGCTGTCTTCTGTAGAGGACACCAGGACTTAGCATTCATTCAGTTCATATTTTTTTAGTTATATAAAAAAAAAATTATAATGATAATAATAAAAAAAAAAACGTATTCAAATGTCTTCTATAGGATTGTGACGAGTGGGGCGGGGGGAGTAATTGCTAATGCGCGACACCTGCGCCACTCACCGGTCTCGAGTCCCACGGAGGAGCTCCGGAAGGATAAAAGAAGGAGTGACAACAGTGTTGGAAGAGAGAGGACCAGGCCTGGAGTTTATTTTGTGTTTATTTTATTATTAAAGTTTCCTTTGGATGTTCGCCAGTTCCCGCCTCCTTCTTCCCGACCTACAAACGTTTGTTACATTGGTGCCGAAACCCGGGAGGAAGGAGGGACACGCTGCCAAAGATCCCTCGCCGCTGGGGTGAGTCCGCAGTGCCATCGAGCATGGAGCATGTATCCTTGTAACAAATGTTCGCCGGTTCCCGCCTCCTTCTTCCCGACCTACGAACATTTGTTACAAGGATACATAAAATATTTCATCAATATTTACAAGAGAAATGTGAAGCAGCACGTCTTCATTATGCACTGGCATTGAGTCACTAAACAGCAACTCTATCAATATCCCTCAGTCTGTAGATCAGAGGAAGTGAAGAACCACAGGAAGAGCTGATAGTATTTAAAGAAAGAGTTGAGATCATATAATGAAGAGGAAGACTGAGAGAAAGAGAAAATGTCTGATGAGTCTCATCTGTGTCTGCTGGGACTGATCGTTCTCTCTTCACTTCTCACAGGTAAACACACTTCTACATGATCTTTAAACTCCTGTGAAAGAGTTCAGTGTATATATATGCATACAATAAAGTTTCATTTATTAATATGTAGTATAATTATCACTCAAATGTACTTGTGTTTCAGGTACCAGTGAAGAGAAAGTGACTTATGTGTTCATCAGTTCTGGTGAAGATGCCCGTCTGTCCTGTAATAATGCTCTTCATGACTGTAACTCAACTATGTGGCTCTATAACAGATTCAGACATTCAGCAACAGTTGAACTGATTGGTTTAGGGATAAAGAATAACAACACAGAGAGACATGAGAGACTGAGTCTGGGGCCTGACTGCTCTCTGAACATCAAGAACATCTCAACAGAAGATTATGGATATTACAGCTGCAGACAATATGTGAATGGAGAACAACAAGGACCTGATGCTCATGTTTATCTGCATGTTCTTCGTGGTAATTGTATGATTATGTGATCAATTTTAAAAAGGGAAATTCTTCATTTAATCTCTCATGATGATTGAAGAGTCTGTGATTTGTGTGTTATTTTGTGTTTCAGTCTCTTCATCCTCCTCCTCCTCCTCACAGACTGAGATCAGTGCAGGCCGTTCTGTGACTCTCTTCTGTCAGTTGTATTCATTTGCTGGAGGCTCTTGTGTTGATTGGATCGGTTCTGAGAGAATTCAGCTGTTCTGGGTGAATCAGGCTGGTGTTAAACTGATGAGATCAGACTCCAGATATCAGATATTATCCTCATCACATCACTGTATCATCACTCTGAATACAACACTCCTGAATGAAGATCACAACAGAGAGTGGAGATGCAATGTTACTCAGAGAGATAAAGTCAAGAGCTCAGTCACATACACTGTCAAGAGTTCAGGTGAGAAAACAAGCTCATCAATCAGTTATGGAAGAGTTTCTGTTAGATGTGCAATTATAATACTAATGCTAAAGTTATCTTGT